AATTTAACTTTACGTTCTTTCACTGAAAATGGTCGTAACCGTTTCATTAATCAACAGAAACACATGCATCAGGTGTGCGTAGGCTAATTTTTATTCTATTTATCTTTTGATTGGGTGTTGTCGGCGTGACGTAATGTTTCCCTAGCGACGTGCTATGCGTAACAATTACGTACTCTACATGGTTTTAAACGAAACGAATATATAAAGAGAAATTTATAAAACCATTAAAAATACATTTTCATTAAACTCCGAACTGAGGTGAAAAAGACCGGCAGGTGCTTCTTTAAAATTTTTGTTATGTAAAATCTTGTCAATCCTAACGAACGACCGGATCCATTGTGACACAGTAATTAATCCCCGTTTTTAAAAACAGCTTTATGAAGGTCTCAATATCTGTGAACATATCGGTTTTCCTGTACACATTTTTAGCTGTCTTTTATTCTCAGCTGATTATGTGGTGTTATCTGATAACGAATTACGTCTTTATTGTAATAAGACATAAGAGATTCAAATAGTATGTGCCTATTATGACACAAATTTTCATCATCTTGCCAGTCGAAACAAGAAATTTCAAGAAATATTTGCCACATTAATAAAACTGCCAACATATGTATTACAATGTTTACTTATTACGTAAGACGAATTTTCTTACTTTGTGACCCGCTCCTACCCCAGAACAAGAAAAAATAAGAAAATGTATAACCCCTCTCCACGTTCCAAATCTCGCGAAAGATAAAAATAAGGTATTTTCGGTACCTACTAATCCTAAGTGACGTTAATGAAAATATGTCGATTTTATATTGCGAACAAGAACTTTTATTCAAATAATATAGCTTAAATATCAACAATAACATAAGCTTTTATAACATTAATTAAATAAAAAAATAAATGATCATGTCGATTCTCTTTTATATTTAAGACCATTTTATTAAGATAAAATCTTACATAATACGTTTTTAGACCTCCTCCCTTCTAAATAAGAAAAAATAAGACATTATCCAACTCCCCCCATAAAGCTCTTACGTAATAACTTGTTTATATTTGATCTGGCATGGAGTGCCGAGAAATCGGATGAACAGTCAAATGAATGTTCCAAAAATGTCTTACTAAAGCGCAAGACTGTGGCTGTTTCTAGTGAGTTTTGTCAATTGAAAATGTGCCGATCAACATTTTAGCAAGGACACGTATGTCAGTACTGACACGTGCAGTACTGATGATAAAAATTATAAATAATACCAGTCACAGTGTAAAAAAAATGTGACATGTGGATTAGTCGAACCGGCGACCTTTTTTTAGTAATTCATTAATTATGTCTAAAGTGAAAACCTCACGAATCTAAGGATCTGTAGAATTTCAGGGACCTAACAATTGTAGGGATCTAGGCTAGCTAAACTCTTCAGAGGACATACAAGATTCAGAGTGAAGAAAGTAAAGGATCTAAAGGGTCTAAAGGCTATACAGGAACCTAATAAGATCTCAACGATCTAAAATACGAGATCCTGAAAGATATTTTCACATATTTACACGATGTGAAGAATCTCCAAGATTTGGTATGAAGGATTTAAATAATACCAAAGTCTAGAAGAATTAGAAGATCTAGAGGATTTTAATTAACCAAAGCCTTTAAACATAGAATATCTAGAGATATCCAAAAAACAGGGATATAAAGGCTCTACAAAATGTCAAGGGTCCACAGAAATCTGAGGAATCTCAAGAATATAAAAGATGAAAAAGACCTCAGGGATTTAAAAGATTTCAATGATATCAAGGATCTAAAATCTCTAGAAGATTTAAAGAGTCTAGAAGATTTAGTGCCTCTGTATTATTTTGAAAATTTAGAGGATTTAGATGTCATACTGCATGTTCTTTAGTATCTCAGGGATTTGAAAGATGTGAAACGAATCACAAATCTCAGAATCTGTAGAATTTAAGGACCTAACAATTCTAGGGATCTTGGTTGACTCAACTTTTTAGAGGACGTACGAGATCCAGAAGGATTCGAAGAAAGTAAAGGACCCAAAGGATCTAAAGGTTATACAGGAAACTAATAAGATTTTAGGGATCTAGACAATGTGAAGAGTGACGAGGTTCTGGAAGATATTACGGCCGTCATATATTTAGACGGTGTAAAGAATCGCCAAGATTTAAATGATATGAAGGATACAAATAATACAAAACTCTTGAAGAATTAAAGGATCTAGCGTATTTAAAGGATTTTGATTAACCAAAGTCTTTAGCGAACATAGAATATCTAGAAAATCCAGAACAAATAAACAGGGATCTAAAGGCTCTACAAAATCTCAAGGATCCAACAAATGTGAGGATCTCAAGGATATAAAACATGTTAAAGACCTCACAAATTTAAAATATTTTAAGGATGTGAAGGATCAAAATCTATAGCAGATTTAAAGGGTCTGGAGGAATTCTGCATTATTCCGGAAATTTAGAGGAGCTAGATTAGTTAGTCTTCAGATAACAGAGGATCTAGAAGGATCCAAAGAATCGAACGCATTTCTGTTTTAAATAATTTTAAATCTAGGTTGACATCTGTAATATACTTATGCATATTGCATGTTATACAGTATCTCATGGATTTGAAAGATGTGAATTTAACAACCTCACAAACCTAAAAATCTGTAGATTTTAAGGACCTAACAATTCTAGAGATCTTGGTTCACTAAACTTTTCAGAAGGATTTGAAGAAAGTAAAGGATCCAAAGGTCTAAAGGCTATACAGAAAACTAATAAGATCTCAGGGATCTAAAAGATATGAAGGGTGACGAGGTTCTGAAAGATATTACGGCGGTCATATATTTAGACGATGTGAGGAATTTGCAAGATTTAAATGATATGAAGGATTTAAATAATATCAAAGTCTATAAGGATTAAAAGTTCTAGAGTATTTAAACGACCTTGATTAACCAACGTCTTTAGCGAACCTAGAATATCTAGAACTATATAAAAAAAGGCAGGGATCTAAAGTCTCTACAAAATCCCAAGGATCCAAAAAGTGTGAGGAATTTGAAGAATATAAAAGATGTCAAAGACCTCACAGATTTAAAAGATTTTAAGGATATTAAGGATCTAAAATCTATAGAAGATTTAAAGGGTCTAGAGGATTTGGTATATCTGTATTATCCCGGAAATTTAGAGGATCTAGATTAGCCAGTCTCTAGATAACATAGGATCTAGAAGGATCCAAAGAATCTAACGCATTTTAAATAATCTAAGTTGACATGTTTTCTACTACATGTTATACAGTATCTCAGGGATTTGAAAGATGTGAACCTAACAACCTCACAAACCTAAAAATCTGTAGAATTTAAGGACCTAACAATTCTAGGAATCTTGGTTAGCTAAACTTTTCAGAGGACATACAAGATCCAGAAGGATTCGAAGAAAGTAAAAAATCAAACGATTTAAAGGCTATACGGGAGCCTAATAAGATCTCAGGGATCTAAAAAATGTGAAGGGTCCTTTTTGAAAGATATTACGGCTGTCACATATTTAGACGATGTGGAGAATCTCCAAGATTTAAATGATATGAAGTATTTAAATCATACAAAATTCTAGAAGAATTAAAGGATCTAAAGGACTTAAAGTATCTTGATTAACCAAGGTCTTTAGTGGACATAAAGTATCTAGGAATATTAAAAAAGAACCGGGCATCAAAAGGCTCTACAAAATTTCAAGGATATTAAAAATTAGAGGAATCTCACGAATATGAAAGATCTTAAGGATATGAAGGATCTAAAATCTATAAAAGATTTAAAGGATGTAGAGGATTTGGTGCACCTGCATTATTTCGGGAATTTAGAGGATCTAGATTAGCCAAAGTCTTCAGATCTTTTTAGGTTGAATATTATTGGACCTTGTTTTTTTGAATTCATTAATGTGTCATACTTTAATCACCTACACTCCACGACTGCCTTTGATTCAAAGCATTATCTTACGGAAACACATTTAGTTAATTCGTTCTCATATTTGGTCCGGCACGGAGTGCCGGGTAATCGGGTGAACGGTCAAACAATTACTTTAAAAATATGAATGCGTTGATCCAGCATAAGTAAGTTTTCTAATTGGAGAATGTTCCGATCAATATTTCAAAGAGGACACATTATGTCAACATATAAATAATACATTAGTATATAATATAAGTACAGGAGCATGTTATTTTATGAAATTTAAATAGCGTTTACTAAAAAACATCTTCAAATTTTTGGTGAGGATGATTAGACAAATTTTGGTTAGTGTCAGTATCATAATCATTTATGCAAGTAATTGCAAAAGAATTTTTGAAAACTTTTCAAACATTTATATTTAGATTTGATTCTGTTTGTTCCAGTAGTGGAACTAGGTACATTTGAAATACATATGTGGGTTGTGGGTTATACAGCAAGTAGATGTTAGTAATTTATGAGGAGTGGTAATCGTTGCGGTTTCTTGGATGGCAGCAATTTTAAATGAAACCCATTATAACCTAAAAAAATGGGGAAACAGAAAACCTTAGCAACCTACCACAGTGTTGTTAAATGCTATACAAGCAACTGTCCACAGGGTTTGACGTATGTTGAGAGTTTTTAAAGTCATTTAAGTAATTATTAAATTCAAACAATTAACTTTTAACAATCGAAATGATGAAAAAAAAGATGACGCGTGACGCTTTCATGTTTGCGTAAATTTCAGGGTGGTATTCAGGAAAATAATTGTTAGAGCTGAAGGTTGAGATAAAATAATTTCACGTGCTGAAAGTCAGTTACCTATATAGATAAGCACGCACATTTGCAGACACCTCAGTTGATCTAATTACCTGTACGGCCCTGGCCTTACTCGCCGCTTTTGGGTTGAAAAAATTTATCAGTATGCAAAAATAGTGCGCCTGATCTTTGTTGAATCGTTTCGTATTTGCGTTTTTTGCGAGGCAAACGTTAACCGGTATCGCGAGCGTTAGGTCAATTAACAAAATGATCCAAAATTACCATAATTGCTTCGTTTTTCAGGACCTGACTGTAACGGACGACACTGTGCTGGAGGCTCATAACGAGGATCCCGCATTGGTGCAGATGCGTCTTATAGGCGACGGTGGTAAGTCGTTTATTTGTAGCCATTTTTAATCGTAGCGCGAATTCACAGTGCAATGCCCCAGTTTCGAGCGTGGCGAACCACCATCACGCAACGTTGAATAATAAAAACGTCTTCCTTCGATGTAAATGTATAAGAAGTTATCTTTGTCTTTCTCGTGTCGGATGACGCCGCATTGTTTCGACCGACTGAATTACGATATGAATTATTCATGACAGACATAAAATGTAGGTATTTATTCATATGGAGTGCGACGTCCTGCTTCAGGCAATCAGGTCGGAGCTTATTTATGCGTCTTCGCTGAAGCCGGTAGTGAGCAACATACCGTAAGATTATCTACAGATAACGAAAATACCATCAACACCCACATTCATAACGGGCTACTGATAATTGGACGTGGACACATACTTTTAACGATTTTAATTGGGACCAGTAGGCACGATTTTTTTTTTTTAAACGACGTGAATATTTCAAAACGACACGTGTTTGGGACAGCGATGGGCTGCAAACTGACGTACATTAATAATCACTTTTTGATGAAGTTTTAAAAACAGTGTTAGCCGCTGCTGGAAGTATGCAAATTTAGTCGGTTCACACAATAAAAATTGAGATCTAAACGGTCTATTTTTAAATTGCACATTAACTTCGGTAGATAACATCAGTATTTATAGTGGCGTTAATCTAGCCAAAGTCAAAAATAAACGGTTACGTGTCAGGGAACTTCTCTCAATGTTGGCAGCGTTGCAACATTTTTAGATCAAGAATTCTATTGACATGTGCGTCAAGGTGGCACTTCTGGGAATATTACCACCCATAAAACGCGAAAAATAACCATTTAGTCTATCTATTCGACATTTTAGCTTGTCATTGTATTACTACAATGCAATGTGATAAATAGTTTTGTATGCAAGGATGTACGCGGGGAACCACGAGGTTCCTATCTGAGTGCATTGCTATTTCTCACTTCACCGATGACATAAGCATGAGTGTAAAACGCTTTCGGGTTATCGCGATTTAAAATTACTCTTAAACCGCAACACCACAAAATTCCCGTGTTCTCGTGTTAGTTGAATGTTTACGTTTGCTTTCTTTTTCGGGAATTTAACGAATAGGAACAATGCGCTTTCGCGTGATGACTCAAATATGCAGACATGTTATTTACATGCAAGAAAAAGCAAAAACTGCTGTTCCGCATGTGCAAGCATATACGTGGATACGTTCTGTAAATAAAAAGAAACCGTTGATGTACAAACAGTGGCGAAGAAAGAAAACGGCTGAAGGCTATTTTTCGACGAATATATTACAGTGTCGTTGCACCAAGGTATTTCTAGCAGGTGTCTTATCTCCCGGAACTTCGCAAACATGTTATGTGTAAATCTAACCGTAATTATAGGAGGTGATAAGCGTAGTGTTTGTTTAATTATTCATTATTTGTGTTCGGACTCGGAGCAAGTATCAATATTTACGCTTGTCGAAATTCTTGGCAACGGCTTTGTGGCACCGAACTACTTCTCGGAATTATACTTTTTTACACTTTTCTAGCAAAGTAATTATTTAGATTAAGAGTGGGTGGAATGTTTACATCGCGTTTTATCAAAATATTCATTTTATTATGATGCATGCCTCGCACTGTTTTAAAGTTGAAGGTTAGCTAACAGACAGTCGTTTACCCAGATTTATTTACATGGGTGGTTCTAATATATTTCTTCCCTTCATTAAAACGTCACGAAAATAACGTTATATCCGTTTGGCTGTGAGCACTTTATTTAAGTAAATTTTAATTAAGTGAGCTCGTTCCATTTTTATACTAAAACAGACACGAGGTCATGGTCAATTATGTTGCGTCAAGCCAACGATTGTTCCGCTGCAACTGGACAGTAGTAGGTAGAGTTTATTTGTTGCGATGATGCAGTTTAAAGTTTAAAAATGTTCCATACACCCACAGGAACTCTATCAATTTTTTATTTATCTTATCAATTCTGAAATACATGGCAAATAGTTATTCCACGTACATATAATACATGTAAACAGTGTTAATCATAGTACTAAAATTGAGTAAAATGTGTAAGCACTTGAGTAATTTCATGGAATTTTAGTTGCCGTTTTATTTGTTAGCACATTTGCAGTTATATTGTTTACTTTTGAGTAATCCGGGTACTTTTAAATTTTTATTATTTTGCCGAGAAATCAAATGAAGGTGCGATTTGTATATAAATAAATACCACTATACTAAACAGCGTTGTTAATTTTATAACTAGTTAACTGTTTTAAGTACTTGTCGAACTTCCATTGATTATCTTACAAGTGTATAGTGGAAATTATAATTAAAATAAAACTTTAATTTCGCCTTTGAGCAAGCAACCCAACTGTGTTACTAACTCTCTAGAATTTGTAAAGCCTCATGAAAGTTCGAGGAGTTCGAACCACGATAATTCTATCAAACTAGTTTCCAGATACAAAATAACAAACTCGTTGCTGAACACGAATTAAAAGTTTCAAATTCGTATAAGTGGCTTACGCAAAAAACTACAACCACTAGTCTTTGTAACAATCGTTGTACTTAGTTTTAGTTGTTCAGGGGAAACATACTGGATTAAATATGGATAAACGGACTGCTGAAGCGATGAACTAAAATGTCTGATTCATAGAACCTTTGTTTCTTTTATGCAAGCATTCAGACAGAAGGTCAACACTTTCAACAAACATTTTTGGACACAGAAAGTCATTAATTCGACTAATTCCTGGTGTTTAATTTATGTTAGTGTATTCAGAATGGGCGTAGATAATTCGTAGAACGATTGTCTGTGTTGACATTTGGCTTCAGAACACATATACTCTTAACTGTACTCTAATAAAGCTCTAGTCCGACAAAGATAGAAATTCGTCTTTTTTACGAGCTCAGACGAATTGTGTCTTACCAGTTCTTGGCAAGAAACCCCCAACTTAAGATATTTCATATTGTACACGAATTGCTTTCTGTAATTTGGGTTTTGTTTCGTATTTCACATTATTCAAAGTCTTAGTGGATCTTTTGCGAAATAACAAACGGCAAAATTTTAGGAGCAGTCGAACGAAAAGCTCCTAACACTCGTGAGAAATGGGTAAAGTCGTCGTGATCTTGACAGTTATAATTTGGATGTTGTTACATTTGACGCTATTTTAAGATGTTTTTAGTAATTTTTTGAATCACTCGTCTTGGCAGCTGCAAAATATTTTTTTGGTTTCTTAAAATTCAGTTCATGGAAGTCTTAATTAATATTAGTTTCCCTAGCAATCTTAATATTTTTTAAAAATCATTAAAGTTTTAAGTCGCAACGTTCACATTATAATTTGAAAACTACTGATGCTTTTTGTTACGTACTATTTTTCGGTGACTGATAATGACTTAAAAAAATAAATCTGTTCTTTGGGAACTGTGCTGTGTTGTTTCATTTATTTAATGTAGATAAATTTCTTGAAGTAATTTGAAAGAATCTCGGGGATTTTTTGTGTCTGGTTTTTGAAGTATTTTGAAAGCATCTCAGAGACCCCTTCTGATTTGGTTTTGAAGTAGTTTGAAAGAATCTCGGGGATTCCATGTGTCTGGTTGTTGAAGTAATTTGAAAGAATCTCGGGGACCTCTGATGTTTGTTTTTTAGTAGTTTGAACAAATCTCGGGAAACCCTTTTGTTTTGTTTTGAACTAGTTTAAAAAAATCTTGAGGAGTCCTTGTGTAGTTTTTGAAGTAATTTGAAAGAATCTCCGGGTCCCCTTTTGTTTTGGTTTTGAAGTAGTTTGAAAGAATCTTGGGAACTTCAAGTGTCTGATTTTTCACAGACCCCGTTTGATTTGGTTTTGAAATACCTAGCTTCAAAGAATCTCGAAGACTCTATCTGGTTTTTGAAGTAGTATAAAAGAATCTCGGGGAATCCATGTGTCTGGTTTTGGAAGTAATTTGAAAGAATCTCGAGGACCCCTTTTGATTTGTTTTTGAAATACCTAGCTTCAAAGAATCTCGGAGACTTCATGTGTTTGGTTTTTGAAGTACTTTGAAAGAATCTCGGGGACCTCTTATGTTTGGTTTTCGAAGTAGTTTGGATGAATCTCTGGAACCCCTTTTGTTTTGGTTTTGAACTAGTTTGAAGGAATCACGGGAAGCCTTTTTGTTTTGAAGTAGTTGTCAAGAATCTTGAGGAGCCTTTGTCTTGTTTTTGAAGTAACTTGAAAGAATCTCGGGGTCATCTTTTGTTTTGGTTTTGAAGTAGTTTGAAAGAATCTCGGGAACCCCTCGTGTCTAGTTTTTGAAGTAGTTTTAAAAACATCTCGGAGACCCCTTTTCATTTGATTTTGAAGTAGTTTGAAAGAATCTCGGGAACTCCATGTGTCTGATTTTTGAAGTAGTCTGAAAGAATCTCGCAGACCCCTTTTGTTTTGGTTTTGAAATACCAAGCTTCAAACAATCGCGGAGACTCCATGTGTCTGGTTTTTGAAGAAGTTTGAAAGACTCTCGGGGACCTCTTATGTTTGGTTTTCGAAGTAGTTTGGATGAATCTCTGGAACCCCTTTTGTTTTGATTTTGAACTAGTTTGAAGGAATCACGGGAAGCCTTTTTGTTTTGAAGTAGTTGAAAATAATCTTGAGGAGCCTTTATCTTGTTTTTGAAGTAATTTGAAAGAATCTCGGGGTCATCTTTTGTTTTGATTTTGAAGTATATTGAAAGAATCTCGGGAATCCTTTTTGATTTATTTTGAAGTATGTAGTTCCAAAGAATCTCGGAGACTCCATGTGTCTGGTTTTTTAAATAGTTTGAAAGAATGTTAGGGACCTCTTATGTTTGGTTTTTGAAGTAGTTTGGATGAATCTTTGGAACTCCTTTTGTTTTGGTTTTGAACTAGTTTGAAGGAATCTCGGGAAGCCTTTTTGTTTTGAAGTAGTTGAAAAAAATCCTGAGCCTCCCTTGTCTTGTTTTTCAAGTAATTTGAAAGAACCTCGAGGAAAACCTTTGCTTTGGTTTTGAAGTAGTTTTAATGAATATGGAAACACCTTTTGTCTGGTTTTGGAGTAATTTGAAAGAATCTCGGGGACTCCCTTTTGTCTTGGTTTTGAAGTAGTTTGAAAGAATCTCGGGGACCCCTTGTGTGTGCATTTAGAAGGAGTATAAAAGAATTTAGAGACCTATTTTGTCTCGTTTTTGAAGTAGTTTGAAAGAATGTCGGGGACCTATGGCGTTTGGTTTTTGAAATAGTTTGAAAGAATTTCGAAGAGCCCTTTTATGTTGGTTTTGAAGTAGTTTAAGAGAATCTTGGGGACCCTGTGTGTCTGGTATTTGAAGTAGTTTGTAAGAATTTTGGGGGACCACTTCCGTTTTGTTTTTGAATTAGTTTAAAAGAATTTCGGAGATCACTTGTCTTGTTTTTGAAGTAATTAGAAAGAATCTCTAGAATTCCATGCATCTGGTTTATGGCGTAATTTAAAAGGATCTTGGGGTCTTATATTGTCTTGGTAGCAAAATATACTGAGCTTATTTTTCATAAGGTGATCTTTACATATATCTAGAAAGTAAAAGGATACCGCTTGAATGACTACTTCAAGTAGAATGCCACTCGAATTTTATCTATCTCTTCGGATAGATACACGTATTCTGCTTCTATAGGTACCGTTTACACTATAGCTAATATAAAGTAGTTTGAAAGAATTTCGGGAATCTTGAGGATCTCTAGTCCCGTTTTTTAAGTAATTTGAAAGAATTTCCGGGACCTCTTTTGAAGTAGTTTGAAAGAATCTCGGGAACCTGTTGTGTCTGGTTTTTGAAGTAGTTGGTAAGAATTTCAGAGAGTCCTGTTTGATTTTGATTCTTGAAAAAGTTTGAGAAAATTTTGGGGACCCCTATTGTTTTGGTTTTGAAGTAGTTTGAAAGTATTTCAAAGATCCCTTGTTTTGTTTTTGAAGTAACTAGAAAGACTCTCGAGGACTCCATGTGTCTAGTTTTGGAAATAATTTGAAAGAGTCTTGGAGTCCAGCGATTTACGCAATCCGTAAATGGGAAACTTAAAAAATGATGTTCTGCTGAAATAAATACTCCGTTTTCAAGGGGAAACTTGTGTAATGATCAGAGAGTGAATTTTTGCGGATAAGACACCTGATGCTCGCGTCGGAGCGATTCACTTTCAGCTAACTGTCCAAATTAGATATAAAACGCAATGATGATCGCATTAAAAACTCAGTTTTGTGGAGGAAAGTATTGAAAGTGTGAGAAATTAATGCGTTATATTTAGATGATAAGTACATGTACATTGCGCGACGGATATAGATAGAATCATTTCCCACGACTATAAAATGTTATTGCAAGTGCCGAAGTGGATATACAATGAACGCATTACGTAATGGTCGTACGACAAGACGCTTTACAATAATTACCCACCCACTGTGTATAGATATAGTGTTCTGTGATGTAATTTTCGGAATTAGTTTCCACGTAGTAAACAAGTTTAGGTATTCATCTAGATATCAATTTCTCGTTTGAAATTTATAGTGTTGTGTTTTTGAGCCACGTAGTCGAAACGTGCGTTTGTTGTTCCACATCGGGCTAAATAGGTAACGAGTTTTCGATCCGTAAGTTTGTACTGTTTTGAATAGAAACTTACCGTAGCGGCAATAATTACGATATGAATAACTTTGTACATCGTGCGGAATTCCATTAGAGCCTTGACTCCTGGCCCTTGTCATGTCTGTGGCTCGAGGGTCGGAAAACTCCGCTTTGCGACTCACAAAGTAATTAATAACAAATTTACTGGCCGCCAACCTTTGCGAACTTCTCCAATATTATTTTTTCGGTAATTCTCTTTGAAGCAGTGTTCGATCGCAAAGTTTGACACCATTAAAATGAGTTTGCCAAGTGTAAACTTTTCCCCCGGAACTTTTTATTAACTTCGGTAACGATAAAGTATGTGCCTTGTCCCTCCTTTCTATTGATTTTCGTCGGAAATCCGACTCAAGTCCTTTCTTTCGACGTTGTTATTTTAATCGGTGTTTGTTGTGTACGCGGAGCGCAATTTTTGCCTTTGATTCGATCTCGTTGTTGGGGATTTATTGTATCGCCGCCACCGGGTCTATTGTGGAAGGAAAGTCCGGGAGTCCGGGCCTTTCACGATCTAATTGGTTATTTTGTGTGTTTGTTTGCAGTGGTGGAGTCGATCATGCGCGGGGAGAACGTGGGCATCACCCCCCGGAGGTCGCGATCAGCCGTGCTACAGACACAGCATCAGCAGCAGCCGGTGAGTATATGAAAACACGCACCCCAAACCACCCCACCCGAGCACCCCGGCATAAACGTAAACAAACCCCTGGCAGGGAGTAATGATGAAAGAGACTTTTTGTTTTGGCGCTGCCCGCCGACAATAAAACCTCCATTAACCATTGTTATTGTCGGATCGGATCCGCACAACAGAATTATGATGCACTGGAAAGTAACAATGTGGCTTCCCAGCGGGGTTTCATGTTTCAATTAGTAACGGCGTAACACCTTTCTTACAAGCTTTTTGTTTTTGTGCAACGAATACTTTTTTCGCAAATTAGTGGCCTGCTAAAAGAGCGCAGAATTAATGGAATGACTCGGAAAAAATATGTTGCGTGTGGATTTTGCAACCTGTAAATGTGTTGTGTGTACATATATAATTATTGACATTTTACCGTACGATATTTTTTGTGTTTACGATTCTTTTAAAATGTCTTACATTTCTGTGGATCTTGACACACAGTGCAAAAACTTACTACTTATATTATTTTCGTTATTTGAAGTTTCTCAAAGCACTATGTTATGTCTTTGGGTCAACTTTATGATCTCCAAGATCCTGGAATAACTTTTGATATTTGTTACACTATCGTCATCTTTTACACGCAAGTCTTTTCATGATGTTGTTGTGACCTGATTACCTTTTTTTGTCGAGAGTAAAACCCATCTCATCTGGTCTTTTTTACTTTAATTTGTTCTCGTACCATAATTGTCAACAAAACCTTCGCCTTGTTTTGGCGCTAAACAATAAAACCTCCATTAAGCATTGTTACTGTCGAATCAAGTTCATTCGACGGAATTACGATGGAAAATAAGACTGTCGCTTCAATAAGGGTTTCAAATTTCAATTAGTAACGACGAACACCTTTCTTACAATCTTTGTCTTTTTGTGTAAAGAACACTTTTTACTTCCTGGGGGTAAGTTAAGAAAGAATTGTAATCGAATCCATTAGACGACTGATACTTTTCTGTTTTCTCGAAGTTTCATGACCCCTAGAGAACAAAAAAATAGGTCTCCCGTTTGCGTCTATCTGTATACCGTCTCATCTGTCCGAATTTCTCCAAAATTTACAATCGTATTTTTTTTATTTTGATAAAATAAGATTCTCCTGCACTTGTGGTGCATGAATCTGTGTTGAGTTTTCACCCTAGACATGGATTTTTGGAAAAAAAATCAAAATTGTATAAAAATATGAAATCTTGCAAACGTTTTAAGGTTATGGTAATCAAAATGACGTCATCTCTTCTATTTTTTCTATAATTGTGGTTTATCAAAAGACTCATAGATATTGAGATTATTTATACAGGGTGACTCAAAAAAATTAATAAATGAGGTAATATATTGTATGGAGTAAAATCAAGAACGACTCACTCCATTTTCCCGAAAATTTTGGAATAAAGTACTGTTATTATTACCTAGTATTTTACTGTCTCCATCCAAATTGATATACGTGTCCTTGCAAAAATTAAAAAACAAAATTTTGTTACGGAAAAACTCACTGGAAACAAACGCGTAGCATGCTTCTATACATTTACTTTGACATTACATATCTTTATGTTATAAGGCTTATAGTAAATTAAAATTCGCAAAATAAATTTTTTTTACTTCACAATGTTTCGTTTTTCTTTTTTCTTGGATTTTACAATTTTTTTGATTTTTAATTTTTTCGTTTCATCAATTTTTCACGCTCTTGGCTTTTATTTTTCATTTTCCTGATGTTTTAAAACTCATTTTTTCGATTTTATATCACAATTTTTCAAATTTTCAGTTCCTCGATTTTTTAATTTTTAATTTTTTTCGATTTTGCAATTTCTGGATTTCGCAATTATCTGATTCCATTTTACAATCTTTCATTTTTTCAATTTTTCGTTTCTTCAATTTTTCAATTCTGTAATTCTTCGATTTTTCACTATCTCGATTTTTAATTTTTCGTTTCTTCAATTTTTCACGTTCTTAATTTTTATTTTTCTTTTTCTCGATGTTTTAAAATTCATTTTCTCGACTTTATATATAATTTTTCGTTTTTTCAACTTGAATTTTTTCAATATTTCAATTTCCTGAATTCCAAATTTTTGAATTTTTCGTTTCTTGAATTTTTCGATTTGAAATTTTTCAATTTTGTAATTTATCGGTATTACAATTTTTTATTTTTAGATTTGTCAGTTTCTCAATTTTATGTTGTGTTTTAAGGTTCATTCATTTTCTTTTTTTATATCATAATTTTTGAAATTTTCAATTCCTCGATTTTTCAATTTTGCAATTTCTGGATTTCCCAATTATCCGATTTTCCGATTTTATTTTCTTTTTATGATCTTTCAGTTTTTCATTTTTTCAATTTTTCGATTAAAAATTTTTCAATTCTGTAATTTTTGGGTAGTGCAATTTTTCATTTTTCGATTTTTAGTTTCTCGATTTTTAATTTTTCGTTTTTTCATTTTTCGTTTCTTCAATTTTTCAAGTTCTTGATTTCCAGTAATTAGGTTTTTCAAAGTTTTCATTTTACACACTTTTGTTTTTTAATTTTTGATTTTTCAGTTTTGTAATTTTTGTAATTTTTGCAATTTTCCCATTTTTTGGTTCAAAAAGGAAAATGGAAACACTAAAAATTCAGAAAACAATAAAAAAACCCAAAAACTGAAAAGACGACAAATTGCTAAATCGAAAAATTTCAAATCGAACAACTGAAAGAACGAAAAATTGAAATATTGAAAAATAAAAAATCGAGAAACTTAAAAATCGAAAAATTAATTATGTAATCGAAAAATTGGAAAGAAAAACGAATCGAATCGAATTGAAAAATAGGAAAATCCAAAAATTGTAGAATCGAAAAATTATAAAATTGTTAAGATTGTAAATTTGAAAAAATGTAATATTGAAAGACTGGAAAATTGAAAAATTAGATAATATCGAGAAACTGAAAAATCCAATAAATGAAAAAGTCTTATAACCGAATACTCAATTGAAAAACAGAAAAAAAAAACTGAAAAATTAAAAAATTTCACAATGAAACACGAAATATTATAAAATCTAAACATTGAAAAACCGAAAAACAAAAAATAAAGAAAATAAGGATCCTAATCGGAAAATTGTAAATGGAAAAACTGAAAAATTAACACTTGGAAACTCCTGAAAGTGCAAATCGAAAAATTGCAAAATGTAAAAACAAAACTCGAAGAGTTACACATCGTGAAATTGAAGAAACAAACAAAAGTGAAAAACTGAAAACTTGCAAATCGAATAAACGAAAAATTGAAAAAATCGAAACTGAAAAAACAAAAAATTATAAAATCGGAACATTGAAAACTCAAAAAATTGTAATAATAAACAAAATGAGAAACCGAAACGAAAAATTGTAAATAGAAAATTTAAAGAAATGAAAAATTAAAGAATTGAAAATTTGAAAAATTAAAAATTGAAAACTGGAAAAATTTTAAGCAAAAAATTGGGAAATTTAAAAATTCAAAAGTTGGAAGATTCAGAAACTAAAAAATTTGAACTTGAAAACACGAAAAATTGCAAATCGAAAAACTGAAGAAACAAAAAAAAATTGAAGAATTAACAAATTATGGATTCCTGAAAATTGTTTGAAAACTGTAATATTGAAAAAGAATGATAATTTGAAAATTGAAAATTAAATACATATTTATCGAGAAACTGAAAAATAATAAACGGAGAAATTGAAAAATCGAATAAATGAAAAAATTAAAATCCAATAATTGAAAAACGGAAAAATTCCAAAGTCGTTAAATTGAAAAGCTGAAATTTAAAAAATTATAATTAGGTATATATTATTAAATATTTAAAATGAAAACTAGAAAAATTGCAAATCAAAAATTGAAGCAAGGAAAAATTCAAAAATTAAAAAATTTGACACTAAAAAAAAAATTAAATCTGCACATTGAAAAACCGGAAAACAAAAAATAAAGAAAATAAGAAACCTAATCGGGAAATTGTAAATCGAAAAATTGCAAAATCTAAAAATTGAAACATCCAAAAGTTGGAAAATCAACTGAAAACTGAAAAATTTAAAAATGAAACTCGAAGGGTTAGATACACATCGTAAAACTGAAGAAACAAAAAAAAATTGAAAAATTGCAAATCGAAGAAATGACAAATTAAGAAAATCGAAAAGTTGTAGAAATAAAGAAAATGAAAAACCGAAACGAAAAACTGGATATCGAAAATTTAAAGAAACGAAAAATTAAAGAATCGAAAATATGAAAAATTAAAAATTGAAAACTGGAGAAATTTTAAAGCAAAAATCGCAAATTTTAAAAATTTAACATTGGAAGATTGGAAAATTGAAAAATTTGAACTTGAAAACTCGAAAAATTGCAAATCGTAAAACTGAAGAAACAAAAAAATGAAAAATTGCAGAATTGAAAAATTCAAGCCAAATAATCTATCGATGGTTATCAGAAAACAAAAATTACAAAAGTTCTGTCGAAACAAACAATTTTTTTTGTATGGAAAGACCACAACATAAATAAACTCCAAATATTTTTGCATTTTTACACTCCTGAACCATCGTTTAGAACTTTTTGGGTCAAAGTAGCTTTTCGTAGTAGTAAAGTTCTGTTTATAACAAGCCAACTTGGTTACGTCATCGTTTGGAAACACTAATTTAGCGACATCTATTTTGATGACGACAGCACTGAATTGTGTCTTCTATATGTGTTGTTTAGAACTTTTTGGGTCAAAGTAGCTTTTCGTGGTAAGCACAGATATCTAATCTAATAGTAAAGTTCTGTTTACAACAAGCCAACTTGATTACGTCATCGTTTAGAAACAGTAATTTAGCGACATCTATTTTGATGACGCCAGCACTGAGTTGTGCCTTCTTGATTTGTTCAGTCTATTTCTGTATTTCATTCTCTAATAGGCGATTTACTTCTTTAATAGCTTCTCTTATTTCTTTTGTCTTTATGTTTTCTATTTTGTTTTGCGTCTACAATATACTTAATCGTCTGCTATCTTATTTT